AACAGCTAATAAATACATAGCTGGTTGGTCACAAGGTGCCCACAGCCGCTGACGTAAGCAAAGTGTTGGTGCTGTGCTGGAACCATTTTTCCTATCTTAGAGTTTGAGATTTTGGCACCGGCTCCAAAACGGCCATCAAACTGCCTCAGTGGAAAAGGGGTGAGTGATGCTGATCCAAGCTATTATGGCCATTTAGCTTATTTTGATTTTAAAAATATATAGTTTTTTTTACAGAAACCACCACCCACACATAACAGTTGATGTTCGAGGACTATACCATGTTAAAGTGACAAAGCCCTCTAGTGGCTGCAGAAATTATGACAGGAGTAAAGGAGGAAGTATTGTTACACTAGATGTTTCCATCAATGCATTTTGATGCTCATTCTGAAGTTTGCATTAGAAAAGCCGTTTAAAAAAAGAGGGAACAAATGATTTAATGCATTTAATGTGAATTTGGATCACTTTTTCTAAATAAGTTATGAAGTAGTGCAACAAAATGAAATATTTCTCAACAAGCTTTATTTTGAAAGTCTAACTGGACATTCCATATTAATTGTTGCTAACTTGACTGCTGAGCCCTATATGAGCAGACCTGATAAGAGGATACCAACAGCATCATATTTTAAAAGGTAGGGCCACTGACCAAGCTGCAGTATTTTAAATCAAATGCTGTAGTGTTTTAGATTTCTGAATGTGTTTTTAACACCTTCCAGGCAGTCACTGATTAAATAAACTTGACTTTAAAAATGCTTAGAAAAAACTCCATATCTAGACTGTTAATGCCCCATTTCCTCTTTGCATGCAGGTACATAGCTATCTGTCATCCAATGAAGGCTCAGACAGTGTGCACAGTGTCCCGGGCAAAGCGGATCATTGCGGGGGTTTGGATCTTCACCTGCGTCTACTGCATGCTGTGGTTTTTCCTGCTGGACATTCAGGTTAGAGAAATACATTTTCAGTGTGTTTACTGGCTGAGGGCTGCAGCAGTTCCACTACTGATTTCAAAAGAAGGCATGGGATAAGTATTTGTGTACTGCGGCCACAATCACTTTCTAGGTTATACTCAAAAACAAAGACAATAGTAGTTTCAGTGAGTACATGAGTCATGAACATTTGTGATAACCAAGACAAATACTGATTGAACTGCAGATGAATGTGAAAAGCTTTTTAAGAGCGCACTGCCTTTTCTAAGAGTAGTATTATTATGTTGAGATGTTATGTGCATCTGAGCCCATAGCCAGCCTGTGATCTCTGTAATAACTGTGTGGCATTCAGGTCAGCCAGGATGGACATGTCCAGTGTGGCTACAAAGTGAAACGGGAGCTCTACCTGCCCATCTACCTCATCGACTTCGCCATTTTCTATGTCATCCCACTGCTCCTCGCCATCGTGCTGTATGGCCTGATAGCACGGATCCTCTACCTCAGGTACTATAAAAGCTCTTTCAGAATACATTTATAAATCCAGATGACATGAAAAATGCCCTTTTAACCCTTTACATCCCCAGTCACACTGCACCCATATTTAACAATGTATGCCAATCCAATAATTTGTCTTGATGTAAAACAAAATGTGATGATGCTTATGAAAGGATGAACCAACCACTTTCAACCAATAATTTCAACCACCCATCAATCAGTCTTCAACTTTTAGCGATACATAAGATTTATTAATTAGCTAGCTAGAAACAGCATGGCTCTCTTTCTGGGGGCCATTCCTCACTCATAACTGTACAAAAACACAGCAGCTTCCCAGTGAAAATTAATAATCTTTTGTTATGACTTGGCGCTATACAAATAAAATTTATATATTTGTAAAATTGAAAGTAGTTATGATCAAGCAATCTGACTGAGTAATCAAAACAGCATGACAGCACACCACACTAAAAATATTACTCTGCCATTTCCATGGCAACATTGTAACCTGAGCTGGAGCAAAACCCTGTAACAAACTGGAGGTATGGAGTTTGCAAGACATGGGCAATTACCAGGCAGGGGGTCAAATAAGATCCAGTGGTGTTGGAGATTCACCTATAACTGTCACTCTGCTGCTTTGGTTTGACCATTCTTTTTTTTTTTTAATTCTAAAACTTTTTTAAAAATATCTAAGCTTTTCAAATATTTGTGAGTCATTTAACTTTATGAAGTTGCAATATTAAACTGCTGGAGATTGGAGTACCCCTTTAAGATTGATTTACCGGCCAATATGAAGGCTGTCTTTAAATACATTAATGACATTTACAAATTGACATCTGACATCTAAATTGCCCTGGGGCGGCTGTGGCTCAGAGGCAGAGTGGGTCGTCCCCCAATCGGAAGTTTGTTGGTTTGATCCCTGCTCCCCCCGGCCTCCCTGCCAGCGGTGTCGAAGTATCCTTGACTGAACCCCAAATTGCTCCTGATTCTACTGACATAGAATATTAAAGGACCAGTGTGTAGGTTTTAGTAGCACCTAATGGTGAAGGTGCAGTTTACAGTTAACTGGGCTACTGTAAAAACATGGTGGTTCAATATTGGGGACTGCCAATAGATCCTCCTAAATGTTACCCACAGGACCTTAAATGGCTGTTCTAATTCACAAACCAATATCAGCTGAGCCTTTTTGCAAGACTTTGAGACCCGTAAAGAAACCCTGCAGCACTGTTAAACCCAGCCACCTTAATTTACTCTAGAAACCAAACCCAGCTGCTATTCTGATGTGGCGTGAATGCTCTAACATGCTTGCTTGCATACCTCCAGCCCTCTGCCCAACCATCCCGACACCACGCTGCGGCGGAGCTGCCGGGAAGCCTCTGTAGCAGGGAAGGGGGGTCGCCAGGGCCGGCCAAAGAGCGCGGTCTCCTCCAGGAAGCAGGTCTGTGCCTCACGCCACACTTGCCCCCTTTCCCATTAACCCCTTCTGCACTCTCCTTTCTTGTTGTTACATCACATCTTATCTATCAAGTAATTGCTGTGCGATAGCTTTAGTCACACTTGACCCCGTTCTCGTCTCTGACTGTGTGTGTGATCTGATGGAAATGTAGAGGCCATGATTCCCCTCTTAACAGCGTGGTGATGATGCCCCCGTATCCGTTGCCTCAGAGAAGTGCCTTCTTGACGGCTTTCTGTCCCGGCTGTTACGCGACCCTGAAGGCAATCCTGGCAATAATGGCTTCTTTTCCTCAGGCTGAGCAGTCAGAGAGAGGGTCTCTGGGTTTTTTATTACATGCATTTGTGTGTCCCTGTGTATATCTGTCTGCAGCCAATCTCACATACTACTGGAGCAATCAGACTCATATTTTTTGTGCGCATTCATGACTGTATGCTGAAAAACCTCTTGTGGTTGCAGTGACTCACAATCTTAACAAAACCAATTTTTTTGACTGCTCTGTTTTATACCGCTAAGTGATCAACAACCTCTGGCTGTTGCAGGCCACATTTTGGCCTTTGTCATCTTAAACCGGAGCATCTGCAGATTGATTCCACACATATGTAATGATCCATGATACAAGAGTAATCCCTGTGTTTAGTACAGTTGCTGCCATCTTTGATGTTAAAGGTGCATACTGGGATTTACTGTTCCGGAGTGTGCATCATGACTTTATAAAGAAGTTATATTCTGGACATTAAACCTGTTTCTGTTATAAATGAAACCCTTTGAATCTGTTACTGTTTGTCCATCGTCTCTAACAGACCTTTGATGCTCCACTGCCTTCCCATATGCGTCACCCTGTCCTTCAATCTTTCTCTTTCTACACTGAACTTCCCACAGCCTCTTACAACATGTTCAGATTGTGATACAGATTTCTTGCAGTTACAAGTCTCGGATTTATCTGACACTGTTTTATTAATGGTGTATAACGTGAGTGTGAGGGAGCCTGGAGGGACAATAGAGTGAGATTCAACTCCTTTGTTTGGATGGTGAGCGGGAGGTAGGGGAGGAGGAGGAGGGAGGTGTTTTATTGTAACGCACCACACAAAATAACAAGGTTTAAAATAAATAACAAAATCTTCTAAATAAATAAGTTTAAAATACATAACAAATGCTGAAAATGAACAACAAAATGTTCTCAATAAATAACAATGTTTAAATTGAGAAATTTGGACTGTAAACTATACTATTTACTTTATTGAAGATTTTCTATATAAGAAAAACTTACTATATTACTATATTGTACCATACAATAAACTGCAAATCTCTGCTGGTTGCATGTGGCAGTTGTGGTGGCATTGCAGTAGGTGCTTCACCATTTGTTGCCTGGCAGAGAGCTACACTCTACTGAGTGCACTCTCCTAGTTTTAACATTTTTGCATTTCAAAAAAGAGAAAAAAAGGCCTATAATTTTTCTTCACCTAGGTTATTATGACTAAATCACTGCTCCTCTTAAGATTATTACATTTACAAGACGGTAAAAGCCGGTATTAAGTGTTGCTACTGGCCCCCCGGTACCTCAGTGTGCATCACCTGAAGTGATTGTCACGTTGTCTAAAACTATCTGAGTGTGGAATTGGTGGGTTATAATTTTTGTAACTTAAAAAAGATACAGAATTGTTGGTAAGAAATCATACAGTGGGGTGCAGCCACCAGGAGGCAATGACTTACCCTTTTTAAAATGTTATTGTTTCTTTTTATTGATTTAAAACTCTTATTACTGCAAATCCACAATTTATTCAAACCAAGTACAGGATCCAACTTCCAACATTACTTCACCTGCTGATATTTCTGCTGTGATCTTGAGAAGAAAAAGATCACTGTGTTCCTTCTCCAGAAATGTGGTGATATTTTCACAGGACATTAAAAAGGTCAAATAGCAAAGGGCTCATTATACTTATGATACAAACATATGCAGAAAGTAGTCACACGCTTCACCCCAGTAATGTTATCTGTAATAAATAGTCCACATGGATGCCGGTCTAATGATGTTTCAGAGCTGAAGCGAATACCATCATATCAACCTGACCCTGGACAGATGAGAGGCAGTGCATGGTAAACCCAAACCCCAGGCTGCAAAGCATTCCTTCTGTAATCTATGGCTTCCTTTATGTTTTTTTTTTCTGTGCTAAAACTGGAAGAGGCTGACAAAATGTGTAATGTGGTGTGTTCTTTGCAGACAAGACAGGCCTTTAGCTGATTCACACACAGTAGGTGTATCCGTTAGCAGAACTCCTTCTCCTTGTAGAACAGCACCGCTGACACAGCCAGTGTCCAATTATAGAGGCTAAACATCGAGGGGAGTGAGCTCCTGTGGTACCTGTGCTTTGACGTTGCACAGCAACACGTCTTGGCATCCGTTTTATACATTTTGATATCTGACCATTTCCTCTTAATTTCCTCTCTGTCACTCAACCACGTGACAGTGCGACCACTAAACCATGAAACATGTCTGACCTTTGGGTATAAAATGTACAAAAGTGTGCACAGTAATTTTCTGTTACAGTCATAATATGCATGCTTAGTCTCTGGCCTCACAACACATTTCATTGCAGATGCATACAGTCTGCACCTTTGACAAATACAAACATATCCCCACCTTTGATAGTACCATGTTTCTGTGCATGAACGTTTTTATTATTGTGTGGTGCAACGGATCATAATTATTTGTAGTACGTAAGGATTGCCCCGCACTGTTCATATAAACCGTTTAATTTGCCTATACACTCTGACTGCTTCTGTCACGTTTTTAAGTAATAATTCCCTAAATCTAAATGTGGAGTTGCATTAAAGAGATCGACAAGACAGATGCGTGCTGTGTTTCACTCTGAAGCACAACGACTGGATTAAGGAAGAGAGCCTGATTTAAAAGCGGTGCTTTCGCCTCCATTAAGTGAAATCCTGTAGGCTGTAGCTTCAAGCATTTTCAGTAGTGTAATGTGGAAACTGTTTGTCGTCGTAGAAGATTGTGATGTTTATTTTAACTTTAGAAATGTATGCTGGCTTGCCCTCAACAGCCAGCTCCGCAGCTCACACTTGTGATGTGTGGGTGGGACACTAAGGGAAACTACAAAGTGTAGTATGAATATACTGTATAGTGTATAATAATCTATTAAATTATAGTGTACTATATAGTGAGTGAGAACCATCTCACACAGCAACTTGACCTGCACATCATTTGGACACAATGTTGCCCTTAATAACTGGTTCTGACTGGTTACTGCATACATACACGCTTTGCTATCTATATAGCTCAAGGTGAAAAATGATAACAGTATCTGTTCTATGTTCTTTCACATCAATGCACACAAGGTGTAAGGTTCTACTGTGGACTATAAGCTGCTAGTTCTTTTTTAAAGAACTGTTACAATAGTAACCTTTAAACTGCTGTCACAATTTATCCCCTACACCACAGGGCACCTTTAATTATTCCAACTTCCTTTCTGTGAAATCATGTTTATATTCTGTTTATTTGTATAGCACCAAATCATATCTGTTATCTCAGGAAACGTTTCATATAGAGCAGGTCTAGACTGTACTTAAGGCCCAACAATTCCCCATGTAATTAAATGAATTACTACAAGTAACCAGTATAAGGGTACACTTATCACGTTTATAACAAACCAAATTTCATAAAAAACAGTTCAGAATTAAGCGGGTTGTTGTGCAGTCTGCATTTCTCAGTAATGTTAACTGCCGGATCTTGACCTCTGCAATATATAGGAGTTGGAAAAAATAATCGATTCTTCGATGCATCGCGATTCTCTCTAGAACGATTCTGTCTCAATGCAGATAAGTTAATAATAGGAATTTTAAAAATTAAATTAGTTTGCGTGCTGCAACATTCTGTTCGCCTGCTGCAGAGCGCTACAGAAAACTCTCCTTTCTGCCTGCCGGTTCTCCGCCAACACGCATGCGCACCAAACACATGTGCGGGTTGTTTACATCCAAAGTTTAGTGGCAACAAAATGGCTGCGAGCAACAAACGAAGCGAACGTGGTGTCGGGAGATGGTGCATACTCTGGAGCGAGGACAAGATACCTGTTGGCGATACTCAGGATATTATATACTCAGATGTATATATATTTAAAATCACGCATGAAATGTACATTAAAAAAATTTTGCATCGAGCAGATGATAATGGTTTAGGACCTCTGAATCGTAATCGAATCGTGAGGTGCCAAAAGATTCCCACCCCTAGCAGGTAGGATAGATGACAAGAGCAGGCCTACTACCTCTACACTTGTACACATTCATTTTAACCCCACCAGTCATTATCAATGTGTACAGCTACTGACGTGATCATTGAGTGACACTGTTGAAAGCGGAGTGTACAGTTCAACTGCTGCAATGCAACCATACCTGACAGCCAACAACCACTCCACTCCCCACGCACCCCTTTGGCCTTTTCCCTCCCGTCTCGCAACCTCTCCTCCCCTAAATAATCTCCTGATAAGAAATAACACAGGTGATGATTAATTATAGCCATTGTGCTTGTGGACTGATATACTCCCTTCTCACATCCATCTTTAACCCCCCTGTTCCCCGCACTCTCATTCTCTTCCACGTGACCATTTGCCTCTGAGGATAGTTTTCAGAGGGACATAAAAGCTAGTCAGCTGTAAAGCTAAATGAAAGTCGTTTGCTCTCCACATAGTCTACTAATGTAACATGCAGCTTTAGGGACTATTGGTCTTTCTGTAGTTATAAAGTAACTCATTCTTAAAGGCGGTGTTTAATAATTGAAAGTGATGGAAGGGAACAAAATTGGAATAGGCATAATTTAATGATTGAGTGTTCATTTCTTTCTTTTTCTCCATCCCCCACTGTCTTCTTTCTCTCCCTTTTTTCACCATTTTCCAATACGGAATCTGTTCTCAGATAAATGGTGACGGTAATTTAGTTTTCCATTTGTGTATCACTCTTGATTCAGCGTGTATTTGGTGGTTGTTGGCAACGTTTGTCAGTGTGCATTGTTTGTT